CTTCTTCTTCTTCTTCTTCTTCTTCTTCTTCTTCTTCTTCTTCTTCTTCTTCTGATGATGATGATGATGATAATGATGATGATGATAAGAAGAAGGAAAATGAGGAGGAGGAGGCGCAGCAGGAGGAAGAGGAGGAGGAAGATGAGGATAATCATACAAAATATTCAATGTTTTGTAACCACATGTTGAATATTTTCAGGGCAGCAATAAGGAGTACAGTCTACTGTCCCCAAACCACGCGTCCGTGCAACAACGGACCACCAGTCAATCTGACTACAGCAGCAACAACAGCAGCAGCAACAACAGTAGCAGCAAGAACAGCAGCAGCAAGATGCCGAAATACCACAACGACATCCACGCGGACAAGGCAAGCCTGATGGAGAAACTCCGCGAGCACTACCAGACAGGCTACAGCACAGCCGGCGGTACCTCTAAATATGGCTTCCGGGTCCTCTTCCAGTTCCAGGTCATCACGCAGCTCTACACGACCCTGAACCTGATCATCCCCTTCCTCTTCTCTGACCTCCACCCGGACACCCAGTATTACCTCAAGGTCTTGACTTGCTACGTTTTCGCCATGGGCGAGGCTAACTGGGTTTGTGCCATCTGCTACTCGTGCGAGCTTCCAGATTTTCGAGACAGACCAGACCCGGATTTTGGAATTTGGTCCCAATCTCCGCCGAGAGACGCGATTCTTCAGAACGGGAACCTAGCCACGCTCTTACCGCACAAAGACCGAAACGGTTTAGAGTGGAAGTACTGTACTCGCTGTCAGCGGTACAAGCCGCCCCGCGCTCACCACTGCAAGATGTGTGGCACGTGCATTCTGAGGCGAGACCACCACTGCTACCTCATCGGCACGTGCATCGGACACTTCAACCAGCGCTACTTCATTGCCCTCCTCTTCTACGGCGTTATCGCCTCCGTAGCGGGCTCGATTCTAAGTATCCGATACCTATCCTACCTCCCGGACGCCGGCGGCTGGTACGATTACATCTTCCCCGTGACCTTGTTCCAGTTCTGCGCGGGAAACGTGAGCTGGCAGTTCTGTTTGCTGGCTTTCCATGTGTTCATGCTGACCATATTTGGCTCCATGGCGGCTCTCTATTTCACCGGTCAGATCCTACTGGTGAGCTCGGGCTTCACGCTGTACGAGATCGCCAAACAGGTGGACGTGAAAGTGTCCAGCACCTACTGGGAGAACCTACGTCTGGTCTTTGGCGACTACTGGGCGCTCAGCTTCCTCTTCCCCTCCCAGATTTTGTTCAAGCAGAGGAATGACGGGACCAGTTTTGAGGGTGTCCGGATTGGGTCGGGGAAGTTAAGCACAGAATGAAGGAACCACAGCTCTTGGTTTATCTTTTATTTTTAAAAAATAAAAATATATTTATTGGTATT